TGTATATTTATTGTACTTGCAAATTCAACGATTGGCATACTAAACAAGTTTTTAAGTTTTTTATTTTTTTCTTTTTTTTGTTGTAACTGATTTTCTTATTATAAAATACCAAAAAAAATGAGAAAAGATTACAAAAATTCAAGGGATTTAGTGTTAGAGCCAAAACCCAAATAGAAACTCATAGTGTAATAATCCAAACCCTAGTTGATAGACTATAAGCCAATATTCTAACTTAGAGTTTAGAGTTTGATTGGTAGAATATTAGCATAAGCATTTTGCTTTTTATTATCCAATCAACGTTTGTCAAAGAAGCATTTAGAAAAGCATTTACCATAATTTTTAATGCTCTCCAAATACTCTTTGCTCAATGCTCTCAAATTGAGTTTTTGGGAGAGCATTTACAGTTAGAATATAAAAAAAATTAAAAATAATTATATATAATTATTTGTTTTAGTTTAATAATATAAAAAATTTTATAATCAAAAAAATTTATATTTTTAAAAATTAAAATAAAATATTTTAAAATTATTTAAAAGAATAATATTTCCTATTTAAAATATAATATAATTTATATAACTACACATATCATTCATTATTTTTAATAACAAACATAACATAATATATTTATAAATTATATATATATATATATATATATATATATATATATTATTTAGACACTAATAAATAAATTATATAACATATATTAATTTTATGATAAGTTTATATATGAATCATTAACTGCTCTACCAATAAACAAACAATAATAATAATATATATATATTATATATAATTTATTTAATAAAATTAAATTATGTTTGTATCCAAAAGTAATTTAATATTTTTGAAACAAATGTTACATTTTTTAAATAATAATATTTCACATATAAACTATAATATAATTTATGTAATGAATAAAATTCATTATTATTAACAAAAATATACTATTAATATATTATTAATATATATTATAAATATATAACTATATAATATATTTAAAATAAATATTTTATTATATTAACAATTATAATAATTTTAAAATTGTATACTACTAATGTTCTGCCAATCATTTTATTAAGAACTTTAATACAAACATACAGTTTTTGCAGCATATTACTTCTACGGTATACTTCTAATATTTTCTTTGTCATACCAATCAAGGACAATCAGAGAGTTAGAAGAGAAGTGGCGATGTAGTTAGGTGATGACCATTTGGAAGGAGGCCGGAGAATCGTCTGCTGATGTTCCAAACTTTTCAGTGAATGCATTGTTGCATCATCCATCTTGTCCATCTCTCATCGGCCATCATTCAACTTCATTCACAAGTCACGACCCATAGATCAGGATTTCTTCTATTTCAGCATCAACTTCATCATTCCATCCATAATCTAGTTCATATTGGATAGGTCGTCAGTGTAAACCCAATAGAGTACCCGAAACCCGACAGTGTAAACCCAATAGGGTAATTACCAACACAAGACCCGCCCAATAAAAACCCGCGAAAATTAAAATCTAAACATACGGTTTTCGGGTTTCAAAATTTAACCGGGTTTCGGGTACCCTATGGGTAAAAACCTATTATTAACATCCCTAAATTCTCCCTTTCTTTTACAACAGATTCTTCTTATACTGATTATATACAAGTTGTTAATTCTACAATCATATTAATATTTATGTTATCCTCTCTAAGTTTTTTTTGGATTTTTAATATTTTGTATCCTTTTTATTCAATAGTAATTTAAATTTTGTGGTTGTTTACTGGCTTTGTAGGATGGATTCAGAAACCCTTGACACAATAGCAGTTCTTAATGCTGCTAATGAGCAAATGGATATGAATGATGAGGATGAAACTCAAGGACCAGCACAAAGCGAAACTCATTGTATGCAAGCAACTGAAACAATAAGTCATTCAAAACGAGCAAGGTCTCTTGTTTGGAATGATTTTGTCTCATTAGGAGTAGAGGCAGATGGAAAAAGAAGAAGTCGTTGCATTCATTGTAATAAGAAGTTAGTATCAGAATCTGCATCAGGCACATCTTCTCTGAAAAGGCATTTGGGTATATGTCCAAAACATCCTCACGTGTCAGATAAGGAACAGGAGTATGATCCCAAAGTAGATCGTGATATGATCAGTGAGATCGTTATATATCTTGATCAGCCTTTCAGATATGTTGAGTATGAGAAGGTCAAGGCTAGGGACAAGTACTTGAATCCAAAATGTCAGCATATATGTAGGCAAACGGCTGCAGCTAACGTTTATAAAAAAATTGAAGGTGAAAGAGAGAAGCTGAAGAGAGTGTTTGCAGAATTCAAGGGCCGTGTTTCTTTTACATCAGATATGTGGACAGCTTCTACAACTATGATGGGATAAATCTGTTTAACCGCACATTATGTTGATGATAGCTTCAGGTTAAACAACAAGATATTAGCCTTCAGTGAGTTAAAACATCCACATACCGGTGAAGATGTAGCTAACAAACTTCTTAGTTGTTTGAAGGAGTGGGGATTAGAGAAAAAGGTCTTTTCTATGACCTTGGATAATGCTAATTATAATGATAGCATGCAGAAGATCCTGGAGCATCGAATTTAGATGGTTAGTGGAAACGAGTTGTTGTGTGAGGGGAAGTTCTTTCATGTTAGATGTTGTGCCCACATTTTAAATCTCATAGTGAAAGAAGGGTTAGAGTTAGCTACTAGTATTCTTGAAAATATTCGAGAGAGTGTTAAATTTGTCAAAGCACCTGGATCAAGGATCGAAGCATTTGTTGCATGTGTTCAGAGTGCAAAGATTAAGAGTGGAGCAGGACTGTCTCTAGATGTACCAACAAGGTGGAATTCGACTTATGATATGTTCGCTAGAGCTCTGAAGTTCCGTGCTGCATTTGTTAGTTTGAAAGAGTGTGATAGGAGTTATAGATCACTGCCTTCAGAGGATGAGTGGGAGCGAGGGGAAAAAATTTGCGAGTTTTTGAAGCCTTTCAGCAAGATTACTGAATTCTTCTTAGGCATTAATTTTCCCACGGCTAATGCATATTTTCTACAAGTATGGAAAATTGAATGCTTACTGATGAAGTATTCTGCTTGTGATGATCTAGTGATGAAAGAGATGGCTAAGAGAATGAGAGTTAAGTTTTCTAAGTGTTGGGATGAATACAGTCTCATTCTAGCTATGGCAGCTGTTTTAGATCCAAGACTGAAGCTTCAAATACTTAGAACAGCTAATCACAAAGTGGAACCAAGAAATGCTGAGAAAGAAATTGAAGTTGTCAAGAAGAATTTGAAAAAGCTTTATGAAGAGTATGGAACCAAGTTTCAGGGTTCTTCAACCTCTTCAGCAACACCAACTCCACATGAGCTACTTACTGAGTCACCATTAGAAGATGATCTGAATTATGTAAGTCTTTTGTTGTGTATAAATTCATATATCATAATCTACTTATCTATCTTATGTGATGCTTAATACAATAACGTAGGATATGTTTGAACTTGAGCGGAGCATCGAGCCTGGTTTAGACAATAAGAAGACGAATCTGGAGATGTATTTAGAAGATCCTAGGCTAGATTCTAGGTCTTTTACCGACACAGAAGTTATAGGTTATTGGAAAGATCAAGGACAACGCTATGGCGATTTAGCTTCTCTTGCATGTGATGTGCTCAGCATTCCAATCACAACTGTGGCATCAGAATCAGCATTTAGCATTGGAGGAAGAGTGATAAGTCCTTTCAGAAACCGTCTTCTTTCAAAAATGTTCAAGCTCTGATGTGCACTCGAAACTGGTTAAGAGGCTTTGCTGAATTTGAAGGTAAATTATTAGTTTTGAAATTGTGTATTTCTTGTTTCATATATAACTTTTTTATGTACAGGTTATATTTTATAATTTCAGGGGATGAAGATTATTTTGATGAAGACAAGGATCCTACAGCCACAACAAGCAGTTCTGGAATGAGTTAAACAAAGTCTTGGGTGATTTTCTTGGGTGATTTTGAATCTGCTTCTTTACGTTGATACTCTGTGTTTCTGAATTCTGAGTCTATTTCTTAAAGTTGGTTTGTTTCTGCTTAAGTTCTGAACTTTGTTTGTGCTTTTGAATTTGTTTAACAACATATCATGAGGCTCTTTGCTTTTGAACTTGTTTAACTATCTTCTTTGTTTTGGAATATTTCTCTTGGATTTATGTGATATAATCAAGCTTCTATATTAGTCATGCTTCTCTTCTTTAACGTACAGGTGATGATATATTTTTAATCATTATTTTTCTAAAGCTCAAAACTTAGTATAAAACTATAAAGCTCGAAACATGATTAAAAAATAAATATCCAATACATATAAATTTATTTAAAGTTATAATTAAAGCTTTACCTAAAACCCACAAAACTTTAAAAAAAAATAGAGATAGTGTTTTTCACGGATACCCGTGGATAACCCTAAAAATTTTGGGTTTTTCGCGGGTTATCCTAATAATACTAGAGTTTTTGAGTTTTTAAGTTTAGGGTATTTTTTGGACGGATGTTTTTCGAGTTCGGGTCGGGCCGGGTAAATTTACCCATCAAAACATCCCTAGTCGTCACTCATCATGCGCCATCATGATTCTGTAAATCTCAAGCCATTCAAGGGATATTTTCATCAAAACAAATTCTAGCACCACATCTAAACCAATTTGAGAATATTATTTCAGCAAACATTTTAAAACATGCTTCTACAAGTTTAATAAAGAATGAATGCAATGACATCTCAGTTGTTGATAATAATGTAACAATTTCATTTGTATGTTTATATGGGCACTAATTTTTTCGCGTATCAAGTGGCTAAACGAGTTAACACACACAAAACGGTAGAATGTAGCGTTTTCATTAAAGATACCAAACATGAAGAAGCATATCAATCAAGGATGAAACAAGAATCAACAAATTTGTTTCTTAACTTTTAGTACAGTGTTCATTGTTCTTCATTTGAAAAGCATAAAAAAAATATAAAAGAGAAATAAAGTTTAATTGATCAAAAAGCGCAAGCTGTTCTTTCTTCACATCATGCTCCTCTAACCATAAACCTCTTCCAGTACCAATGTTGCTTCCAAACGCTATCCCTAATGTCATCAATTGAGACACCTTTAGTCTCTGGCACGAAAAAGAAAGCAAAGAGCCCCATCACAACGATCCAAGCACTGAAGAAGAAAAAAATCCCTGACTTCATCCCGCAAAGCATTGATAGGAAGGCCTGAGCGATCACGAAAGTGAATAACATGTTGCACGACACGGCCAATGCATACCCTTCGGTTCGTGTCTCCAAGGGGAAGGTCTCGCTAGGGATTAGCCATCCTAATGGTCCCCATGACCAAGCGAAACCCATCACGTAAAGGCACACAAAGACAACCACTACTATGGCTTCTGGTCTACTTAACGTACCCGTCAAACCTAGGTCTTTGGCTAGAATGATTCCAATGACCAACTAATTTGGAGAAGAAAAAAAATGTTAGTATAGGAGGATTGCTTGCACCACAAGAAACTCTTACCCAACTAAATGTTTATTTCCTTGTCGAATAAGAAATAGAAATACCTGGCAAATGAGCATTTGGACTGCAGCCTGGAGCAAGAGAAATCTCCGACCAGTTCTGTCGACGAAGTAAATCCCTACAAAAGTACTAACAACATTGATAGTTCCTGTAATAACTGCGGAAAGCAAAGCAGCATCATTCCCAAACCCTACAGTCTGAAACAAAACCGGGGCATAAAACATGATGGCATTGATTCCAGTAAACTGTTGGAACAGCTGGAGCAACATTCCGATGACAAGAGGCGGTCGGCTCTCGCGCTTCATCAGCCTCCTGTAAGGATCCTTGACCTGCCTGGCGAATTCGCAAGCTTGGACGAGTGAGTTATACTCCTCATCAACATCTTCGACGCCTCTGATCTTCTTGAGAGTAGCTTTGCCTTCCTCGTTCTTGTTACGCTCGATGAGACTCGTCGGTGTTTCGCAGATGAGAAGTGATCCGCCGAGGAGGAAGAGGGCAGGAATCCCCGCGCCACCGAGGGCGAGACGCCATCCGTAAGGGTGAATAGAAGAGGTGAAGTAGTTGACTACGTTGGCGATAAGGATTCCTATTGTTATCATTAGTTGGAACACAATGTTGAGACCTCCACGAAGCTTCGCTGGAGCAATCTCTGATAAGAAAAGCGGTACGGCCTACAAATAACATATTCCGACAAAAAAAATTAAAACACAATCTCATACAAACCCCATGTCCAAAACGGAGTAAAACCAAGTATAGTTTATGATCCGACCGCTATATATATACCGAAGTGAAAAGCTTATGGTCCACAATATAATATTGTTAAAAACATTTTATTATATCAACATTATTAATACCGAACTTATTTTGTTTGGTATTTTATATTTTGGTTAATTATAATATATATTGTACCTGATTACCAAAGCCAACGCCAAAGCCGAGCAAGATTCTGCCGAAGATCAACATGTACATGTTAGCAGCACCGGAGGCAAGGCCAACGCCGATCAAGAAGAAGATGGAAGCTAACTGCATTGTGGGTTTCCTGCCGAGCTTAGAGCACGTGAAAGAGGNTTGGTATTTTATATTTTGGTTAATTATAATATATATTGTACCTGATTACCAAAGCCAACGCCAAAGCCGAGCAAGATTCTGCCGAAGATCAACATGTACATGTTAGCAGCACCGGAGGCAAGGCCAACGCCGATCAAGAAGAAGATGGAAGCTAACTGCATTGTGGGTTTCCTGCCGAGCTTAGAGCACGTGAAAGAGGCCAAGAAGCTGGCCACGAGTGCCGCGAGGTAAAGAGAAGAGGTGAAGAGTTGCAAGAACTGGTTGTCGTACTTGCAATAGTTATCCTCGCGTGCATGCTTCTTCCTCTCGTACACAGCTGGAAAAAACTTCATCAAGAAATCGTCCATCGCCGTTACCCCACCTGTTGTTGTTTTTAACATTAGTACCATGCATCAAGAACGATCAAGAGAGCAAGCAGACTAAGAAAATTAATTAATGCCAAGTCACAATTTAATATTTGATTACGGTCACGATTTACATCGGATTGTATATATACAATGGTCTGATTCACTAATATTGACCGCATGGTTGCAATCGAAGATGTTTTTTTTATTTTAAACAGATCTAAGATGTATAGATATTTTTTGACGCATGATAAAATAACATGATACGTGTCTGAATCTAAATTGAACATATCTTAATCTATAAGTAACGTAAAAAAAAAAGAACGAACGAAATTGACAGAGAGAAGAATGGTACCAGAGATTCCAATATCATAACCAAAGATCAAACCACCAAAAGCGGCAATAATGACACAAATGAAGACGTAAAGGGTCATTTTCCCCGGAAAAGCAGGGGAATCACCACTAGACGCTATAAACCCACCAGCCATTGTTTCAAAACCTCTAGATCGCTCTAATTGTTAGTGTCTGTGTCTATGCTTCTCTATCTTGTAAAGGAGGGAGAGACAAGGAGAGAGAGATCTTTACTTAATTTATTTATGAGACAAAGAAAAGTTCATATACTTATACAGAAAAAGAAGATACGGATGATGTCTGAAAATGGAATTATGCAAGAATTGAATATTTGGTCAATATATTTGGATCATTGTCCCCTTTTTTGACTCTTTTGGAGGGAATTTACAGTCAGCATATCGCTGTCACAAAGTCAAGTTATCCACTTTCGGAAGTCTGTTTAAGTTAAGGTTTATAATTGTTACCATATCATATATGACAACTGGAAAAAATGAACTGGATTTATTACGTCTAGATTCGGTTCTTTATCTAAATGCACAATCAGCGTGGATATGTTGCTTCCTTTCGCTCGGTACGTAGTATCAAAGTATGTTTGTTAAAGTAAATCTTGATTCTTTTTTTGAAACACAAATAAAATCTTGATCGACCAAAGTTCGAATAGTATAAGTTTCTTTTCGAATTAATATTTTACCCTTGGCTACTATGGTACTCAATAGATACGGCTTTCATTTTAGTTTTTCAACTTTTTACCACTTAGAAATATATACACAATAAAAATAAGTTGTAAAATTTCTGCAGTATGTAGATCAGATCACCAATGACCTCAACGCATATTATTTCTTGTTTTCCCGATAGGTTTTTAACTTAAATCATGGTAATATGCCAACGGCTAGATTATTTTACAATGACCAGGAAATAAATTAAAGTTTGCACAATTACAACATATCAAACTCACTAACATATATCATTCTATTCTCTGTGAACAGCCAATGAGACTGTTAACACAATTCCCAGCTCATGAGAAATGATCATATAATCCTTCAGACTGATTTTGAGGCAAAGCTCCTCAAATTCAAAACGGGGAAAATCATGTCGTTTCCTAGTGTGGACTAATCACTAGTCCAAGTAAACATCTTACTTAACCAGCTTCAAATGCTTGTATACGTTTTTACTATTTTTCTAGCCTAAAAGATCGTCTAGAAGCGGACGTGCAGCCTCCGTCCGCGTTGCTGTCTCACTGTACCGACCTCTGCAAGGGCAAAAACAATGAGTAATATAAGCGTTCTGGTTAAAGGGATTACACTTAAAAAACTTGAAGGAGTCTTAAACGAGGGTTTAGACTAAAGGATCACAACACCAGACTCGAGAGACTCCCAATGCTTTTGTGATTAAACACAAGAATAGCAGCAAGCAAGAGACCTTACACTAGTTGACTGTTGGAGTTCAACAGCTGATGATTCCCCGTTTTCCTGCATAACAAGACCAGCAACATCACCCATGTTATTCCTTATCTCGGGTTTTGTTAATTGAATATTTTTTTCTAGAACTAGCTCTCTACTAATGTAAAAGGTTAGATACCTCAATAAGTAAATCCTTTCTTGTGATCAAGCCTATCACACGGGAAGGACGGGGAACAACAAATAGATGTCTCAATCCAAGTTGCCGGAAAAGGTTGTATACCTATAATTCAAACGGATCAAAATTTTCTCAACCAATGATCTGATGTATCGGTACAATATAACTTATATTTTATGTAAGTGCTTATACTTACCTTTGTCAACGACATGTCTTCAGGAACGACGTATGGAGAGGGATTCAAAAACGGAGCAAGATCTATGTACATATCTAAATCATCTGAAGTTAGATGTATATCCTCTATGCATAACCCTTTGGATGAAACAGGTTTAGCAAACTCGCTAAATCTGTGCCTGGAGATTGCATAATCAATTTATATATCAGACAAAATTATGATTCCTTCCAGAGAGAGTGGAAAAGAAGAGAGTGTAACATTAGTTTACCTGATCGGTCTGGCACTTGGATCACAAGGCAATGGGCTATGTTGAAAATCTACCTTCGATTGAAGGAGAACAAGCAAGTGACTGCAAGGTGAAAAAAAAAGAATTATATATTTCTTCAAAAATTACACCGTTTGCAGTTGGTGGATAAATGTACAATCACGTACCTCCGAAGAACTATCCCAATGACTAGTGTTTCCCCACTTCTCGTGTGGTCAATAACCTGGTACAGTGTCAAAAACAAAGCCATCAGTACAGAGGACTAAGCAGTAACGGGTGAAACCTGGTGTCGGGGAAAGCAATGCTTACAGGAAATCCATTGTGTTTGTTGCTGCGCAAAATTGAAGCGACATCTGCAACCCTGATAACTCGAGGTAAAGAAATTACCTTCAAAGAAGAAGAAAAAAAACATGAGACCTACGTGTTACAAACTCCATCTAGTGGTTGGCTGACGATAAAACATAGCTCTGTCTTAGATGATGGAGAGAAATAATAACAACCTTCTGACTTTGACATGCTTCCTTCGCTACCATTTGCCGCATATGATACTTGGGTCTCGATTCCAGTAACGGAATACCCTTAAGGCGTGCTTGTACTTCATACAATCCCTCATTGAAAGCATCACCCACGGCCTAGGAACAGAGCAAATTAAAACAAACGTATCTTCATAAGAGGGAAGGCAAATGATAATTGTTGGTAACTCATACCTTTGAAACGAGAAGAACCAACATTATAAGAGGCAGAAGTTTCAGGTTGTTTGTGATTTCAACCATAATAACACATAAAGATACAGTCATCCGCATCGAGCCTCCAAGAAACGAAGCAGCTCCCAGTAAAGCATAACTAAGATTCAAAGACTTTTGTATCAAAGGCCTAAAGTTTAACCAACAAATTTGAAAACAACGAAGTGGTAAGATCAACAAAGCACTACACAGAGATACTCACGTTCCCTCTTCAATGTTGAGCTTCTTGTAAAACCTGACTACAAACATGCCTACAAGGCGCCCATAAGTTGATCCTATCATTATTCCAGGGACAAACTGGCCAGCGGGAACAGCAGTGCCAAATGTCACCACTGCTAATGTATAAAACATAGCCTGTACATCATTAAAACAGAAAGAGACCAATAAATCAGATGAATAAACAAATAGAATGGTCTTTCAATAGATAAAGAAATGGAACGATATTAAAAAAATTAAATCAGCATATTCCTCATCATGTTGATAACATGCACATAATTCAATTAATCTCAAACTCTATCTACCAAATTAAGGGTATATGACCAGGTTGAGGAACTTTTTAAGCTAACCAAGCAGAAGCATTTCATACCAAAAATGTCAGTAGACTCTGAGCACTGAATTCTCGCATTGTCTTTGCGCTGAACAAATTCCTTATAGCATCATCCTGTCGCCAAAAAGAAAAGCAAAAGGTTTAAACTGTATCACTCGGGCTTAAAAGTAAAGCAAAGTCAAAATAAGAAAGAACATATTTGAAAAGATTCTAGCATAAAAGACCTGAGTATTGAAGAAAATTGTGGCGAGATCATTGTATTCGTTATCCGTTTTGCAGTAGAACTGAAATGATGGAAACAAAGAAATAATAATAATAAGTGACAAGAATGTGGCAACGTTAAAAGGCTGAAATGTCAGGAAAGTCAGAAAGCTCAGCAGTGGCAATGAATGGCATAGCTAAAGTTCTGGGGCCTGATTATTTAGGTTTTTAGACACCATCACATGAATTCCACATACGCATCTAATAAGAGTGTTCAAATTTCACTAGGTGTAGTTAGCAAAACCTATAAGTTTATGACGGCCATTTTTGCCATCGGAGAAACAGTTAAATGATGGGTAAATATCATCATCGCAGATCTCAAAGATACACATCTATCTATAACAATGTCTTACATTTACGTAATTCCCATACATTCCAGGAGGCCGTGGACATTCAATACCAGAGTCAGGAACTGTTTCAGGGCATGGACTGCATTTCCTTAGGAGTGGAAGACCAAATGAGATTGCTGAAGTTAAGCAAGAGATGATGCATGCTTCATATATCTGCATATTCAAATATGTAGCAGTTACGCAAGTTCAGAAACGAGACAATCATCAAAAGATAAACATAATCAAACAAATGTAGAATTTCTTGTGAATACCTTCACTCGATTTCCTTTCTTGTGCAAATAATTTCGACGCCATGATGT